AGATGCTAGAGAAATAGAAACATAAGTTTGTTGGTTGTTTCTCTAGCATCTCTGAAGAAGTATTGATTTTTATCTCGGTTGAAGGTACTTTTCAAATGTACTTGTTCATTTGTAGTGAACGTCATGAAGTCAAAGTAGGAAGTTTTAGTTATATTAAAACTACTTAAGCCAAATTCTTATTATAAAAAACAGATTCTCGAGCACTATTTTCCTTTGAAATTTGAAAGAACAGATAAATCATACTGTGTATACGTCAGTGTCAAAGTAAAAGTTTCCTAAATTTCGAATGAAGAAGAATATCTGTGTGTTATAACATCGCAATGAAACTGGTTGTAATTTAAACCTTGTGATTATCCATTGTCTCTGTACGTCTTTCCAGTTATAAAATAGCATAATAACATTTTAACTATACCCTGTTTATTACACGAAGCTTTTGTTCTTGTATAATTTAAAACAAGTAAAATATGTAATTTAAATTATTATTAGATGATTTACTGTGATCATGGACATATTATTACTAATTGTTATGCTCCGTCAACTCAGGCTTTCTGCACTCTTATAAAGGAGTAACATAAATAGTTTATATTCTAAATGCTGTGATTCAGAGCCTGGCATGGCCTGGTGGTGAGGGCATTCGACTTGCAATCTGAAGGTCGCAGGCTTGAATCCCGTCCTAGAACATGCTCGCCGTTCAGCCTTGGGGTGTTATAATATGACGGTCAATCCCACTATTCGTTGGTTAAGAGTAGCCCAAGAGTTGGCGGTGGGTGGTATTGATTAAGTGCTTTCTCTCTAGTCTAACATTTAAAATTAAGGACGGCTAGCGCAGATAAATAACCTTACGCGAAATTTAAAGCAAAAATAAAACCTGTGATTCAGCTGTACTGATGAGATCTAGCATTGTGCGAAAGGCCTCATCGGCCGCATCATACAACAACTAAGATATAGCTCTAATGTTATGATACATCATTCTTACTGAAACCTATAGCTGGGCTAATTAATAAAAAGGGATTTAATTTAGTACCTCTCCTGTCATGATATAATATCATACATATTACTAGTGGTTGTCCACGTGCTATAGGCGCTCCATTCACCAAACTTGAAAACATATTTTACACTAACATGAAAGAGGGTGTTAAATATTCTAATATACACATATTATGAACTAGTCATGCGACCAGTGTCAGACGGTTTAAATTGACCAGCAGTTAGACAAATTTTCCATTTGAGAAATTTTATTTATGGCATTGCCTCCAGTCATAACATTAAAAACCGGGTTTCAATATCTGTGGTGGGCAGAGCACAGACAGCCTATTGTGAACAAACCAACAAATTTATGGCACTCTCTACTGGCAGGATATCAAACTTTATGGTATTTTTTTAATGTTGTTTTCAGGAGACTTATCTGATTAAAATGGAGCATTATGAATAATTAATCACAAATAAATTTTCTTTTTTTCAAATAGAAGTTTATTGTCTTAAAAATTGACACGATTTTCAACAACCCCTACAGATCCACGAGACAAGAAGAAAGGGTGTATTCTGGAAAACATTGAATGAAAAGGGTGAAATTTTTATGTATTAAATATTTTACGTGGCTCACCTGTTACAAGTTTTATTAAGAAAATAACGAAAACATAAAAATAAAAAAACATCGAACAATAGCATAATTTAAGGCTAAAGGCCTTAGTTAATTAAACATGTCAAAGTCCTAAGCTTTCTGATGGTAAATAGAAAAGTCGTGTATTATATACTGTCATCAACGTATCGTACCTGTGAAAGAAAAACACAAAATCCGAAATTTTTTTATTAGCCAGCCTCTCGGTTGCTTTGTTGGTTAACTTATGTTTCTACAACCTTCTACTGGTTAATAAAAGTCGTAATTTCTGTTTACGTGTTCTGAACATCGCAGCTGATTTCGTGGATGGAGGGGGAGTGACACAGATGTTTACAAAGTATTTTCGTTTTACTGCAACAGTCTTAGTAGAAACTGTGTAAGTATGGACCGATTTTTTCTAATGTGACGTTTAAGTATGCTATTATTTTCAACCTTCTACTGGTTAATAAAAGTCGTAATTTCTGTTTACGTGTTCTGAACATCGCAGCTGATTTCGTGGATGGAGGGGGAGTGTCACAGATGTTTACAAAGTATTTTCGTTTTACTGCAACAGTCTTAGTAGAAACTGTGTAAGTATGGACCGATTTTTTTCTAATGTGACGTGTAAGTATGCTA